ATGATCAGTAATATGATTTGTAGAAGTACAGTTGCCGCCACATGAATGTACCAAAACCTGGGAGCATGTGAGGGTTTGGGTACGATCTGTGGCAACGCAGCACTGCTGTCAAGGATGAATGGGCATGACACAGTGAAATTACCATATTTGTGAAGACACACATCAATGCTGAAGAACACTTATTACGTGGATGCTTTATTTGTTTAAGTTATGCAGAATTGTTGAGTAGCCATGACTGAGTGACTAAGACAGAAGTAAAGGGAACTGGCAAATAGGGCAATCCATGGTTTCACGCCCATGTCTATGGTGCTGCATTGCCACATCTAATACCTGTGCCCTCACACACTCCCAGGCTGTGGTATGTTCATGTGGAGACAACTATACCTCAGTTTCTCAGCTACAATGCCAACTCTCTATGGAAAGGGTACAGCATTATTCAAATGTAGCTCTGAAATTGCCAAAGATTCCCTTCAGATTTTAAGAATTATTTAAAAATGAAAATTAAACATAAGATATTAAATCACCTAAACAATAGGGAAAAGAAATTTACATGAAGATTTGTTACCCAAACAAGCCTGGTTATCATATGAGTCCTATAAAGCCAGCAGCCAGGTTATAACTCTCATGAAGCCATAAGCCAAGTCATATTAGAATCAATCACCTTTGAGTAAAGGTCCACTCCTTGCCATCTTGGTATAATGGCTAATTTATGGTTGGCAAAATTGGTAAACATTATAAAATTCTTAGAAAAACAATTAACTAATAAAATATAATAGTTTATTTAACCGAAATAATCATAAACAGAGCTTTTACTACAGTAGAGTGGGGTATGCTATAACGAACGGATCCTACTACGAATATTCCTATAACGAATGGTTCTACCTATAAAATTGAGAATGCTATAACGAATGCAACTCCTACAACAAACGCGGATGAATACGGGACTATTTCGCCTGGCGCATGAATATTGTTGTACCGTGACCCACAAGAAGAGCGTCAGGCGCCATCTTTGTCTCATTGTGTAGCCAGTGCATCTCTGTTATTGTTGAAATTTTGTCTTTTGATGTGGAAATAGAGTTATTTGTATAAATATTTGTTATACAAGTGTACAACTGTAACAATGAATCGTCCAAAGCGAGTGAGAAAGCTCATAACTCTTGAAACTAAAAAAGAAATCATAAAGAAACGTGAGGATGGAACAAGCATTGCGAAACTTAGTGATGAGTATGGGATGGCTAAATCGACTATATGTCCGATTTTGAAGAATAAAGAGGAGTTGAAAACTGTGCAAGTGGCTAAGGGAATCTCTAGACTTAGCAAAGCAAGGTGTAATGTGATTGAGCAGACGGAAAATTTACTCTTAGTGTGGATAAAGAAGAAAGAAATGGCAGGTGATAGCATTAGTGAAGCTATAATTTGTGAGAAGGCCAGACAATTGTTTGAGGACCTTAAAGCCAAGACTCCCAGTGCAAGTGATAGTGATGTGCCAGTGTTTAGGGGTACCAAGGGGTGGTTTACTGGTTTCAGAAGGAGAAATAAATTACATAGTGCTGTGAGACATGGTGATGCTGCTAGTGCAGATAAGGAAGCAGCTAAGGAACACCATGACATTTTTTTGAATGTGATTAAAGAGGGAGGCTTTGTTTCTCAGCAGGTATTCAACTGTGATGATACTGGACTTTTTGGGAAAAAAATGCCTCGCCGTACATACATTACCAAGGAGGAAACTTCTGTCCCTGGCCATAAGCCAATGAAAGACAGGCTTACCCTCCTTCTTTGTGCTAATGCTTCTGGTGATTGCAAAATAAAGCCACTCCTTGTGTACCATGCAGAAAACCCCAGAGCTTTCAAAAACATTAGGAAGACCTGCCTTGGTGTTATGTTGGGGTCAAACCCAAAGGCTTGGGTGACCAGGAATTTATTCTCTGAGTGGGTGATTGAGGCGTTTGGACCCAGTGTTCGGGAATACCTCAGGGAGAATAATCTTCCACTGAAAGCTTTGTTGGTGATGGACAATGCACCAGCCCACCCTCCTAATTTGATGGTTGAATTGCCAGAGGAGTTGAACTTCATCACTGTGCACTTCTTGCCACCCAACACAACACCTCTCATCCAGCCCATGGATCAACAGGTAATTTCTAACTTTAAGAAGCTGTACACAAAGGCAATGTTTTGTGTCGACTTCTTCCAGTGATGTTAGTTTGAAGGAATTCTGTAAGAGTCACTTCAATACAGCAGATGCTGTTTTTTTAATTACCTCAGCCTGGAAAGAGGTTACTGTGAGGTGTCTTTGTGCTGCTTGGAGGCCATTGTGGCCTGAATGTGTGCTTCAAAGAGACTTTGAAGGCTTCGAAGAGTTAGAAGAAGAGGCTGTTGTTCATGAAATTGTGTCTCTGGGCAATTCCATGGGCCTGGAAGTGTATGATGATGATGTTGAGGAGTTGGTGGAAGAGCACAGTAAGGAACTGTCCACTGAGGAGCTGCTTGAGCTTCACAAAGAACAAAACGAGACACTGAAGCGGAGCTTAACTTCTGAGGAGTCAGGGGAGGATGAGGACAAGGAGGAAAGCCGCATCATTCCAGCCAAGGATCTCAAGGATGCGTTCTTTTGCTGGAGCAAACTGTCCAAACTTGCTGAGGATTATCATCCTGATGTTGGTTCTGTGCAAAAGGCCATCAGTGTGTTTAATGACAATGTTATGAACTACTTTTGGAAGGTCCAGAAATCAAGGTTGAAGCAGCCAACCCTGGATTCCTTCTTTAAATAGGTAACAAAAGAACCTACAGACAAAGTGCCTGTGAGACAGTCACCAAAGAGGGCTAGGAAGGATGACTCTTCTCCTTCCACCTCTTCTCCATAATTCTCTCCTCCCCCCTCCCCCTCTGCCTCCTGCCCTGCATGCTGAACAACACTAAGGTAAGATAAAGTACCGTATTTTTTACATTTTCCACATAATTTTTTCAGTGTTAAGTGGTTGTATTTGGGGGCCTGGAACGGATTAATCCTATAACGAACGAATGCTATAACGAACGAGGTTCTAGAACCAATTAGATTCATTATAGCATACCCCACTGTATTGATAAGATGGTAAGCAAAAGCTTTGTAAAAAGCAGGGTTGGAATAATTGTATTTGTAATTTAATTGAAATGTAATTATTTACAAGAAAATTTTAATTAATTACAAGAAATTTTTGATTAATTACAAGAAAATTGTAATTGTAATTGAAAAAGTTTTATATTGTAATTTAAATGATAATCATGTAATTGTAATTTAATTGTAATTGTGAACTCAGTCCCCCGATTACATTTTCAAATCAACCGCCATCATGACCATGGTCATTCCACGGATTGCCACCCATGCAACTGCCAATTGCAGTACTGTGAGCCTTTGGCTAGATTTCTGATGGACTCGGTGAAGAAAAGGTTGGACCCATACATAGAAATGAGGGATGTTCGAGCAGCGGCTTTTCTGGATCCTAAGTTCAAACTAGACTGGCTGTCATCACAGGAACAGAAGGACCAGGTACTGATTGATATCAAGGAAATGTTGGAAGAATCAGAGAAAGTTCAGGAGGGGTCAACAGAGGAAGACCCATACTTTTCTCCTTCATACCACCATCTTCAACTTAGCCACAAAATCAATGAGCATCAGAGGGAAGTACAGTGAGTCTGTTGTTGAGACAATATGTGGAAGAAGGAACTATCCCATTTTCAAATAATCCAATGCTCTACTGGAAAGAAGTGCCCCCAACTTTGCACCCACTGAAGAACCTGGCAAGGGAGCTGATGAGGTGTACTGCAATATCTACTCCATCCGAGCGAGTTTTCAGCATTGCTGGAAATTATTTCACAGCCAACAGAGCCCAACTTGGTGTTGCTTCTTTCAGGTCATTGTTTATGATAAAGTGTAATGGTGAATTATTTGTAAAACTCCCAGCTTTGTAAATATTAAGTGTAACTTGCAGTATACAGCTACTCCTCGACTTACGACCTACTCGACTTACAACCACCCAGACATACGACCGCCTCAGCTGTACCAAAATTTTGTCAAATTACATATTTTCGAGTCCCGATGTTAGTGATTGCGCTGTGTACTGACAAAATTTTTGTTTGTAATTCACTTTAAAATGGCTGGCAAGCTTAAAAGTGAGAGTTTTGTGGTGCTGAAAAGAAAAGAGACACCCATTTTATATTTTATATGTATTATTTAAGCATTTTCGACTTTTGACCAATTCGACTTACGACCTGGATTTAGGTCCCTAATCCCGTCGTAAGTCAAGGAGCAGCTGTACATGGACTGCACTGGAATCTTGATGGCCGATATCTGTTTTTTTTTCACAATACAGTAGTTTTAAGTGAAACACATTCAATACGGGTTTAGCCTTATAACTAGACAGAATGACGGTTTTCTTTTCAAAGGGTGAGCTAGCATATAGAAACTTGTAATTGTAATTATAAATTAACTTTTGATTTTCAAATTGTAATTGTAATGTATTTCAACATTTGAATTGTAATTGTAATAAAAAATTCAGGCAAGTATTTGTAATTGACTTAAAAAGGTGTAATTGCTCCAACCCTGGTAAAAAGAGCATATAATTCAGAAGTGGGTAGTAGAAGAGAGAAGGGATGACCAAAAAGGATAGAGAGAGATGGGATGAAAGACACACTAGTAGTGAGAGGATGGACATCCAGGAAGGGGGCAACTTGTTCGAATGACCAGACAGAATGACATTGAGTGATTTTTGAAGAATATTGTGTTGCTACTGAAGTGATGCTAGGTTGTACTATGAGGTGGTAAGGGTAAACCCAATAGATACTTGGGTCTCGTGAAAGGTAAGTATCATAGCAGAACATTTCTGTTACACCAGCAATAATGACAGAATAACAGCAAGAGATAGGAGAACTTACATTTGGTCTTGATTCTAGTCATCCTGTATTTGAGTAGGAAAAAAATAAAATCAGAATTATGATTAAAATTACATTTTAAACAATTACTGTACCTTAGCTATGAAAGGCACAAATGCCCTTCTAAATGGCAACCGACACTTGAGGAACCACATTGCAATGACGTGGTAGGCTAAGGATACAATGTAGTGGTTGAACTTGAATGGATTTGTGTATGGTATGGCTATTGCAAATATCGACATGTACTGGTCAGGCACGAAGCTTGCATATACTTTCGGCAGGTGAAGAAGAGCTGTAAAAATTTAAATTAATTAAAAACTTTCCACTGTAGGCATCATCATTACTACTGTATTTACAAATATACTTATGCAATATATAATATTTGAGATAAAATTTCTTTTATCTTATTGCTGCACAAAATGGTTCATTCTTGAAATTCACGTACAGGACATCAACTTACTTGACAGGAACTCCAAGATGGGTTGTGCATTCTGAACAGTAGCAGTGATCTTAGACAAATTTAGCATGACCTCTCGCAGCAGTTTGATCATTGAGTCTCTCATCTCCAGTACACACAGGGTCAAGGCACTCACACACAGTGGTCCTGCACAGCGACTTAGCACGCCTAATTCTAAACACTTGATTACCTGAAATTTTTTTCAATGACTCAATAATTATTTTTTTTAAACCATGTGGAACAAACAATTAAACCCTTATTAGTCTGCTATTCATTAAAAGAGGAGTCACTTTTCACATTTCCAAAAAATGCAATGAGATGAAGATGAAAATGGATTATGAAAGTTATCTAAAAAAGTTCAATAGAAAAAATGTGGATGTAGTAGATATGAGTTTAAAAAAATATTACAACAAAATCATTTGTAATTAATAAAATATGTGCTGCAAGTATAGCTTGAAAGACTTACATAAAGTGTTACGTTGCATAAATTAAAAGTAACCATGAAATAATAGCAGACTGAATAAAAAAAGAAAGATTATATTTTCTCCAGTCTCACTTGTGTGTAAGGTGGATCATGGGGCAGTTACCTCAAGAATGAGAGGAAATGGTTGGGGCATAAATAAATAAAATGAGAGGAGTGTATGATGTGTAGAAGAAAAAAAAATGGTTGACATCAGTGATGTAGTTGAGGCTGAGACCCTTCGTAAATTTAAGCTTTATGGATCACCAGAAGAATAGCCACCCCAAGTGCTTACCTGAAGAGTCAACCTCCACCTTAACCAGCCTGAAGTTTAACAACCCCAATGTTATAGCCAAGTGCAATTGTGCGCGCCTGCCACATGTAAGGTGAAGAAACTGTTTACAACTCAGAATAGCTTACTAAGCGATATGGAGCTGGTAGCAGCTGTGTGACTGCCCGAGGGACAGTCTAACACCTTCTACTGCAAAGGCAGCATCTTGATTCTCGTCAGTCAATATCTTTCTGCAGGACATTAGATTTGTTCTCGTTGGTCTAACCCTAGACCTCAAAACGTGAGTGTGATTGTGAACTGTTGAATCCTCTGAGAACTCTAAATAACTTTAATAAGAGTAATTATGTACTGTATATTGATAGTATTATTCAAACTGTGTCCTGATGTACCAGCAGTTGTTGTATGTGAATTGTATTCAACAGGTTTTGATCGAATTATACTCATCGCGTCAACGACAAGGGTCTTACAGTGGTCCCTCGGTTAACGAGCACAATTCGTTCCAGAAGGTTGCTCGTTAACCAAAAAAAATCGTTAACCGAAACCATTGTTTCAATGGGTATTTGGGTAATTGGTTCCAGCTCACCGAAAATTACATGCAAACTAAAAATAAATGCAGTAAAGTACACTTACTTTGAGGTGTGCATGTAGATGGCTCCTGGTTGATGATGATGGGAATTAGAATTGGGGTGGAGGAGAAGGGAGAGGAGAAGGAATTGGGGTGGAAGAACAGTCACCCCATGCCGCCATTTCACCCATAAAATTTTAGTTCACTTGGTGTAATTCAAGATTATTTTCTTTAAATCAACACTGCACTGCATTATATATATTGTCAATATGTAAAATATATTTCAAAATGACCAATAAGTTGACTGGAAACACACAAAAAAAGCGTTTATGCTGAAGAGTCTCAAACAAGATGTTACTTCCTCTGAACTGGTAAACAGACTGATGCCAAGCTTGGTGTGTTGAGTGGCTGTTTGGTACGTTAAAAACTAGTTTCCTGTACTTCAATTATGTTCAATAATTGTTAAAATGACAAAAAAATTAATATTAAACTTTTAAAATTATTGAATAGTACAACCTTCTTGATATTTACTAAAATGGTAAGGAATTTAAGCCCTAAAACTGATTACTGTATTGGTGGACTAATAGTAACCCTTACCAAGACTTTCTCACCCACTATAAATCTCACCAAGAAAAAAATCCTAAATCACAATTTAAAACCCAAGGTCTGACAGAGGGACCTTTGTAATTCAACTAAGTCTATGGGGTTGGATTCCAGCTAACCCCTAACAGTGTATCAGTGGACTACAGTTGAACCTCGATTTACGCGGTTCTCGTTTACGAGTTTGGTCATTTACCCTGCCAGAATATAATTTACATTACTGGAATTCTTATAAGATTGTGATTACAGTCATGCGCCGATTAACGTCCTAGATACGTTCTTGGAAACGTGACGTTAACCGAAATGGACGTTGTCCGATCATCACAAACTTTTTATTTATACTTACGTGTATGTGGAAAACTATATACAGTGGGGTATGCTATAACGAACGGACCCTACTACGAATATTCCTATAACGAACGGTTTTACCTATAAAATTGAGATTGCTATAACGAACGAAACTCCTACAACGAACATTATTTAATTTTTTTTTTTTTTTTTACTAATTTATTGTTTTTTTATTACAAGTATTAATGATGTTCTTTATTTCAGGGGTTTAGATGCATATTTATGCACTTTTTTACAATTTTTACAATTTTATATTATATTTTTCAGTGTTAAGTGGTTGTATTTGGGGGCCTGGAACGAATTAATCCTATAACGAACGAATGCTATAACGAACAAGGTTCTAGAACCAATTAGATTCGTTATAGCATACCCCACTGTACGTACTTTAGGGTGGTCCTTATTTTTCAACTTTGGAATTTTTTACCACAGACCCTGCTAAAAGTGTCCATTTAGGACAAAAACATTGTGTAGAGTTATTTTTAAATATATTAATATCTAGAGGTTGCTCAAAGCTGTCAAAAATTAAGTAATCGATGTAGTCGATTACTTTGTAGCCGATTACGCCCACCACTATTGCTTCGCATTTGGCACGATTGTGGTAAGTTTTTGCTGGTCGTGATTGATGATTGGGGAAATTAGAAACAGTTCTACAGAGTATTCTCATTATTAATTTATATTAATAGTTAATTTCTTTATTCCTCAGGTCAAAATGGCTAATGCAGGAGTAAAAACTTGAGAAAATGTGTATTTGATAAAGACATTATGTGATGACATTACAGGGGCTAAGTTACCTTCAAACAGGCAAGTGTTACAGTTTTTTTTAAGCCTGCATCGCATACAGAAAAAACCATCAGAGTGGCAGTTGGGGAAGTCACAGACAAAGTTCTTCAATTTTGGACAAAAACAAACATTCCCACACACCACAAACCAGATTGTGTGAATCAAGTGCACAAAATGTTTGACAAGTGGAGTAATTTGAAAAAGAACTCTTCAAGAAAGACAGAAACTCAAAAGCAGAAAGAGAAAGAGTTCACTGATACATTTGAAGATCTCTTGGACATTGCACATGTGAATGCTTTGAATATGATGACAGTTCAGGAGGATAAGGATTTCTTAATAGCGCAACGAGAAAAAGGGCGTCGTGGGGCAATGTCATCTCTTGACAAAGTATTCCTGAAAAGACAGAAACGACGAGAAAAACTCTCAAGAAAGCAATGAAAAGGAAGTTGGCTGCAGACAGTGAAGAGGAAGAAGCCAAAAAATGCCAGGCCATCGTTCTCTTGGACAGCAGTAGTATGTCTTCTTCTGAGGAATCCAACCCAGTTCCTGGCCCATCAGCACTTCAAACTCCACCTACTGTCAAGAAGCGTGGGCGAAAAGAAGTTCTAACTCCAGAACTTTCTGCAGCATTAGATCGGACCAAGTCGTCAGATAGAATGGCCATGCACATTGTCACCCAAACTGCTCGGAGTCTGGGCCATGATGTCAGTGAATTGATTCTGAATCGATCAAGCATCAGGAGGTAACGTCAGCATCATCGCAGTAGCAGGGCAGCTGAAATCCTTTCAAACTTCAAACCAGAGTCAGTTTTAATTTTTCACTCGGATGGTAAATTGATGCCTGATTTGACGGGGCATGGGGGCCATGTTGACAGACTCCCAGTTCTTGTCTCAGGCAATGGCACCTCCCAACTTCTTGCTGTTCCAAAACTTCCCTCTGGTACCAGTGATGAACAAGCAAAAGCTGTTGTGAAGGCTTTGCAGCAATGGCACATTGCAGACATCGTGCATGGCATGTGTTTTGATACAACAAGCTCAAATACTGGTCACCACAAGGGTGCGTGTGTCAAAATTGAGCAGTTGTTGGGTCGTGATTTGCTATATTTTGCCTGCCGCCACCATGTACTAGAACTTGTAGCTGGAGCTGCTTTTGAAGCTGTAATGGGGCACTCAGCTGCTCCTGACATACAGCTGTTCCAAAGATTCCAAGCCAAATGGGAACAAATTGACAAGCAGAAGTTTGAAGACTCCTCCACCGACGATCTGGCAGAAGAATCGGTCACAGCTGTTAGGGAAGATCTAACCAACTTCATTGAGAAGGCTCTATTGGAGACACAGCTTCGAGATAATTATCGAGAGCTGCTAGAGCTGGCCTCCATCTTTCTTGGCACATCACCTTCTCGGGGAGTACGATTTTCTGCTCCTGGTGCAATGCACCAAGCACGATGGATGGCAAAGACCATTTATTCCTTCAAAGTGTGGTTATTCGGTTCTCAGTTTAAGCTTACTCCAAAGGAGAACAGAGGACTAAGAGATTTGTGCATTTTCTTAGCCCGAATATATGTGAAGGCTTGGACAACTGCTCCACTTGCTGCAAAGGCACCAAAAGGAGATCTGATGTTGCTTAAAGCTCTACAAGACTACAGTACCATCAGCAATGCCATATCAAAGGCAACTTTCCACAAAATGATGAGACACCTCTGGTACTTGTCAGAAGAGTTGGTTGCATTGGCCTTCTTTGATGACGATGTTCTACCAGCAGTGAAGGACAGCATGTTGGAAGCTATGAACATCGTTATTGGAGAAGAAAAGCATGTCAAACGGGTTACAATCAATCCAGACACACTCCAAGTGAAGAACCTATATGATTTCACGACAAAGAACACAAAGTCATTTTTCAAAAAGCTCAACTTGAATACAGATTTCCTGGCCCTCCCAGTAGAACAGTGAAAACATGATCCTGGCTTCCAAAATGCAAAAGCCAGTGTACAAGCTTTGTCTGTGATCAATGATCATGCAGAAAGAGGAGTAGCCTTAGTCCAAGATTTCTCAGGCCTCATCACCAAGGACGAACAGCAACTGCAGTATCTACTGCAGGCACTTGCTGACCACAGAAATCATTCCCTAATGCCCTCAAGCAGACCTT